CCAAGGCATGGCATTGTAGGAGAATAATAATCATAATCCTTGCATTTGATAAAGCGTCTTAACCCACCGTTGAGACATCTCAAAGCGCTTCACGGAATAAACTGTAAAAGTGAATTGACTGTATTTTGTATATATATAGCATTTATATATATATTTAGAATATATATGTGAAGTTTAATATTTTTTTCCCTCCAGTTTCTCCCCTTCTTTTCTGAAGGCACTGACTGACTGCTGGTACTATATATTGTTCCAAAGATACCAGCTGCCCTCTGGTACATTATCAAAGGCAAGTAGCAATTTTTCATGTTGTTCTGATATTCAAGAAATGTGACAGGTGACAGAATCATACTTGGCAACTATAGACCCATTAGCCTGACCTCAATAATTGGAAAAATGATGGAGTCAATCGCCAGAAAGAAAATGGCAGATAACTTGTATCAAAATAATCTAATAAGTGACAGCCAACATGGGTTCAGAAGGGTAAACCTTGACTGACCAATCTCACAGACTCTTTTGAGGAGATTACATCTCAAATTGACAGCGGGAAGCCTTCTGAAATTGTATATCTAGAGCTAACAAGTAAGACTAAGAAGCACATAGACTTTATGGATGGCATCGAACTTGCTAAAGGGGAAGTTCACCATATCAAAATATGTGAAGCAACAGTAAATGAGCCAAACAGGATATTGGGCCAAATCAGTTGAATTCAGATCCCCAGACATCATATTCAAGCTATATTGTGCTCTAGTATGGCCAGAGGATAGCATACAGTTCTGGTCCCCATGACATGAGGGTGTTGCCCAGACACTGGAAGCAAGGGACTGCAATGAAAATGATCCCCAGTATTGGAGGAATGAGATGTGAGCTGTTGAGAAAGTAAAGCCAGAACAATAGTTTTGCACAGAGACAGCAGAACAAGAAGACACAGGTTTAGGGTTGTAAAGGGCAGTTTCAGGACAGACACCAGGAAGTGTATCTTTATTTAGAGGATAATTAATGATCGGAACAAGTTAGCAGTAAGGGTGGTTGAGGCTAAGATGTTGGACTCATTTAAAAATAGCTTGATGCTGTGATGAGAAGACAGTATTTTGAAAGGATGAGAAGAAGGGCCTTCTTCATTCATTCCTCTATTGCGTTCTTATGATGTATTAAAACAGTCAGTGAGTTTTATTCTGTGCAGACATTTTGAATTGATTTATATAACCTTCTTCCTGAAGGTAATCTTAATATTTATCCAAACATCTATCATGGATGTCTTAAAAGGGCCAGAAAACTTTCATTTTAAAGCATCAGTTAACATTAAAAGAAACTAGTCCTGTCACCTTCCTACCTCTCCAACCTGCTTTCTCCCCACTTCTTTCTCCTCACTACCCACTGCATCTGCTCGGCTGACTATGGACTGCTCCCCCACCCCCACATTCCCTCCCATTTCTTGTTATTGTAGTTACTTGTTACATTCACTTAACTTATGACTTGCATATTGTACATCCAAATGATAGCCATTGCATCTAAATACACCAAGGTTAGCAATCTCTAAATGATCTGCAAGACTTAAATATTACAATGTGCATGCAATGTGTTTGTCCCTAGGCAGAATTTAAAACCTACAGGCTTTACACAGTGGGTGTACTTGGAGTGGTGGTCCTATAATATCTTTGTAGGAGTCAATACCTTTTTTTTAATAACAGTCCAGCCCTTCCCCAGGTTATGTTTAAGATGTCCTTGGGGATATTTTAAGATTTAGAACACCATTCATTGGATTTCTTTTAACAAAATTTATAAAGAATGCAGGTTCATTCAAACATGATTAGCACCATGTATATGTACAGATTGGGCCAGCAAGGTACATCTGCAACTTTTTAAGTGAAATGTACTGATTCAGACTTAACACTAATGGCCAACCCCCTAACAACCAACTGGATTTGCGAAGTTATTTGCATACCCTGCAACCAATTTATATTGTCTTAATATTAACATAGATTTTATTTTAAATACAAGATGTTCTGAAAATATGTATATTCAAATAATTCAACATATGTAACAATGACCTGAAATAAGACCGAGGTTTTTCATCTCAAAACAATTAATCTGCAGTAAAATTCATCCGTACAATGAATACCAAGACTGTGGAGATTTTAAATTAGTCAGGAAAAAGTTAAACATTTCATGAGATTTGATTTATTGACCATTTCTCTGGAGAATTTGGGGCAAGTTGGTGATTATAAAGATGGAGGATGTCCGTGCTAGTGAATGGGTCACTTTCAGTTTGCTCACCCAGTGTCACATCAAGTATTCCTGGTCAGATATAGGATTACAATGCAAAACGCATTATAAAGTGCAGGATATGGAATATTAGCTGTAATTTGGGAAACATTCAGATAAGGAAATACTCAACATATGAGTTATTGTATTATCAACAAGTGGTAAAATGTTACGAGTGGCTCATACCGGTTATGAATGAATATTTTCTAAGGTAGCAAAATGGTTTCCACAGCGATGTTGGAAAAATGTAACCTACAACCTAAAATCTTCCCGATGTCACAAATATGATTATTTTGCAATATGCCATCACTCCCTAATTTTTAAAAAATATATTTTATGCTTCATGTTGGTCAAATAATACAGATTTAAAACCCATTTTCCTCCAATTTAGATCCCCAGCTGCATCATGTATTAGTCTCTGACTGGGAAAAAAAGAAGACAGCTTCAGAGACTCTCTTTACACCACTCTTTTTTTCTTTCCAATTTTCTCCCCACCTTTTCTGAAAGTAGGGACTCACTCATACTGAAATACGGATTTGCAGGAGCTCAAATTCCCCCAGTAACTCATGCACATAGCCATTTTTCACCTGTGAGCCTACCCTGTGGGAGGTGATAAACACAACTAATCCTATTGTCACTGCTCTTTATATATACTTCCTGCAGGGATCACTGGGTAGTGGTAAATCCAGTTGATTTTTCCATGCTTGGATCACGAATGAGAGGTCAATTTTAATATGCCACGACTACCCTAGCTGTCAATGCAGCTGACTCAGCACAAAGCAGATATTGCACCTGGGACCTTTCCAGTATGTATTGTGCTATACCAAGCCACACACCATTTATTCAATCTGGGTCCTTTCTAGTATGTATTGTGCTGTAACAAACCACACAGCACTATTCTAATGTTTATAATGTGAAAGCTTAGTGAGGAAATGTTTATTTATAAGTCATTTCCAGATCATGAATTTTTTTTATTTTGTCATCAATTTATCTTCTGTGTGGCTTCTGATTTAAATGGAGGTTAAGGAATTCCTACCTCTATTTCAAAGATGGAGTTTTTCTCCTGACTTCCGTTCCGTCCTCGTCCAAATTTAAATCAATTGGCTAATCACCTCATTATTGTTCATCAGACTTTCCTGATGCAATTTGGTTGTTGTGTTTGCCTACATAACAACATTTCTTTATATGAAAGGTGCTGTTTAAATGCAAGTTGCTGTTGTTGTCTTGCTGCTGGTGCTACTTTTCCTGATTGTACTAACAAGAAATGGAATGGAAACCAGAACAAGGTGGGAAATACGCTGATGGCATGATTAGAGCTAGGTTTTTAGAAGAGATTTTGATGACTTTGCATTGATCTGCATTGTACTTCATTTGGCAGTCATTAGACCCTGTTCATGCCCTATCAAGGTCACTTTATAATTCTTTGGTGCCTTCTTTAATTTTGCAGCTCCCCCCACCCCCATTGTTTTAATTTTAAATGTAACTTCATTACACTTCGACTGAAAATCGAGGCAATTAATGCATAAAAAGGACAAGAAGGGTTCCAGTACCCCTGAGGCAATGCTTTAATTCTGCCCCTCATTTTGACCCAGCACCTCCCACCCCAACAGCAACCATACTCTACTTCCTCCCTTGTAGCCAATTTTAAATTTACGTTGATATCTTACACTTCTTGATACTCAGCTGTGGAATCTCTCTTGTGCAACTTTGTCAAACACAATCTGGAAGCCTTATCAGGGTGGTCCAACTAGCGGCCCATGGGCTGATTCCATCCACAAGTCCCCTATCCCTCATCTCATTTGGTCCACCCGCTCCCCCATTAATTCATAAATGTTACGTTTCTGGAAGGAAAAAAACACAAAAGTATTGCTTACGCAGCCCATGGAGATTTCTCAAATAGTGCATTCGGCCCAGAGGAGCCAAAAGTTTGGACCACCCTGGTTTAATTAGGTAAACTGCTTCATACGGTATTGCCAGTCCACAGTCAGTTAGGGTTGTGACGTCCTCTCATGACTCTGTGGATGTGGTCAGACAAGAATCATTCCCCACCTACTGAATCTTTGTCATTTATTTGACAAAGCGGAAACCAGAGAGGAGCAGGTACTGGGCAGGAGTACTGTAGCGTTGCGGTAGAGCGCTTGCCTTGGAAACGAGAGGACCGGGGGTTCCATTCCCCCGCAGGGTGACATCTTCAGCAAGTTCCCTTACTCCGCAAGCGTACAGCGCCTCGGGACGTCCTCCCGACGTGAAAGGCGCTCTATAAATGGAATCTCGTTGCTGTTGCTGTTGTTGTTGTTGTTGCGTTCCTGTTTACGTTGCACTAAAGCAGAAGCACGGCTGCTATTCGACTTGCGGGTCGCACTGCCGGGTCAGTAAGCCCTTCAAAAAAAAAATAATAATACCACTGCTAGTAATAATAATTACTAGTAATAATAATAATAATTATGAGTAATAATAATTTGGTCGCCCGGTCCGGTCCGCGCCTGTTTGTGGACGGCGTGAGGCGTCGCGAAGGCGCGACGAGGCGCGACATCAAGTGCAAGGATGATTTATTTATTACTATCATTATTATTATTATTATTATTAGTAGCCACAGTCCAAGAGGGGAGGGGAGGGAGAGTGGTTGGTTATCATGACTTGGGTCATCAGCCAATGAGCGCATGCGCGGTGGGCCCCCCTCACAGCCCCGCCCCCTCCCGGGGGGGGAGAGGAGGAGGAGGAGGAGGAGTGGCGCTGTGCGCATGCGCGGCGCGAGCGGCGGGCGGGCGGGCGGCGGTTGGTGGCGCTGATCTCGGCCGAACTTTCCATTCCTCGGGAAGCCGCAGAGGCCGCGACCGGGAAGCAGGTGACGGCTTCCAACCGGGCGAGGGGGAGGCCCGGGGGGGGGGTTAGAGAGCGACCTGAGGGCCTGTGAGAAACCCCCACTCCTCCCCCCGCCCCCCCCCCTCCCGCCTCAGCTCGGCTCAGGCCGCCGCGCGCCGTTGTATTAGAGGGACCCCCGTCCTGCACTGCTCCGCTCCGCTCGGGCCTTGGCCGTGGCCATGTGCTCAGTGGCTGCTCAAGGCCCTCCTCCGTCACCCTCTCCCACCGTGACACCCTCTCAGCCCCGATCCACAATCACGCGGTGGTTCGTTGAGAGCGTCTCGGCCACCGATTCAAGACGGCGTGTGAGGCAGCAGCACAAGGCTCCTCCGGCCTGGTTGTGTCCTGCAGGACGTCTGTCTGTCTGTCTGTCTGTCTGTCTGTCAGTCAGCTGTGTGTTGTGTGTGTTGTGTTTGTATGTTGTGTTTGTGTGTGTTTGTGTGTTGTGTGTGTTGTGTTTGTATGTTGTGTGTGTTGTGTTTGTGTGTGTTGTGTGTGTGTGTGTGTTGTGTGTGTGTTGTGTATGTGTGTTGTGTGTTTTGTGTTTGTGTGTGTTGTGTGTGTGTGTGTGTTGTGTGTGTGTGTGTTGTGTATGTGTGTTGTGTGTTTTGTGTTTGTGTGTGTTGTGTGTGTTGTGTGTTGTGTTGTGTGTGTGTGTTGTGTGTGTGTTGTGTTTTGTGTGTTGTGTGTTTGTGTTTGTGTGTGTTGTGTATGTGTGTGTTGTGTGTTGTGTTTGTGTGTGTGTGTTGTGTGTTTTGTGTTTGTGTGTGTTGTGTGTGTGTTGTTGTTGCTGCTGCTTATGAACAGCACTGTGATATTGAGCTGCTCGCCTGTCCATGTCTATCGACTTTACTGGACCACACTTCACTCTACAGCACCTTTCAATAAACCCACACTCAGTGCTTGGGTTGATTGATATCCTTGAAGGCTTTGTGTTCACATCAGAGCAATGCATCTGAGGAGGTTATTTGAATAGAACATCTCTCTTGAATACGTGTGTGTGAGTGTGTATATGTTGCATTTGTCCTCCCGATGAAAGGCGCTAACCCTAAATGTAAATTGGTTGTCTTGTTTTGTCTCTGACAAAAGTTAGGGCAGATGTAAAAAAGGTACTCGTGTTAATGTCTTATCTTTTGGTTACAGAACATGCCTCCCAAAAAGTCAGATTCTGGACCCAAAACACCAACAATTATTGGACGATTTGGAACCACATTGAAGATCGGGATTGTTGGATTGCCAAACGTAGGGTATGTTTCAGAAATTCAATACATTGCCGGGGGAGTGCTGCAACGTTGGAGGTTCCGTCCTTTGGATGAAATGTTGAATCAAGGGCCCAGACGTTAAATATTCCATAGGATTATTTTGAAAGGGAAGCACCTGGTGTCCTGACCAACAATATCCCAGATAACATTGATTATTCACTTCTTGGCTGATTGTGGCACAGTATTCTGTTCAAATTGTCTGTCGTATTTTACTACAAAATACTCATACACCTTACGCAGTAAATCCTGTGATGAGATGTCTTCCTGCTGTGAAAGTCACTATATCAAATAATAATAATTATTATTACATTAATTTGAAACTTGCTAAATTAGTGAAGACCTATTTACACTCTTGAACGTTTTCCTCCCAGGTTCATTTAGTTGTAATAACCCCAGCTGGTGTTTCTTGAATTAATTTATCTCTTTTAAAGGCATTTGAATTCTATTTTCTCTTTTGGTGGTATGCTTCTGCAAGCATCAGTTGCTCTCTGGCATATTGCCATTATGGATTTATGACGAGCCATGAAAGTAAATTATTACAGTGGGTCTACACCGCTGATCTTGTTACTGTTGTATTCTAAGGTCCACAAAAATACACTTGCAAACTAGCAAACAGTGATCTTTTCTGCAACAGTGATAGTATTAGTTTCCTTACTCCACATGCCTCTGTTTACCCAGCAGTAAGTGGGAACCCAATTGGTAGTCAATTGGCGGATCGCTTTTCTGGGGATAATAATTCCTTAAAAAAAAATTGGTCACTCAATCCACAATTGTTTGTGGGACACTGCAGTGAGCAATTATCTGCCGCGTTTTGCCCACAACATATACAGTCAATTCACTTTACGTTCTCCCAATATGAAAAATGGCGTACAAAAATGCAAGGATTGATAGTTTTAATAGATTTTTCCAAAACTGAAAGACTTATTGGATACTTTTCAACAGCATTGGATGTTATTTGAGTTTGCCCAAGTCTACTATAAAAAAAACATTATGATCGTAGGTTTGTGGTCAAATTGTACAGTCCCAGAGAACTAATTTGTGCATAGGAGTTAAGAATAGATTAGTGCAAGAAATGGATAGCTTCAATCTTTAGCCTGCCCCTCCCTGCTTTTACATCATGGTCCCTGAAGCACATGCACTCACCCCGAGAGTCCATTAAAGACATTTGAATTACTAGGAAAGTCGCATGTCAGCCCAAGATCTCATTTAACATGTCAGCCGAACATCTGAGGAGACAATCAGAGAGTGAGTGTTGGCCTGCTTGTAGTAAAAAAAGATTGAGAATATTTTCTAAAAGATGTTTTATTTTTCATTTGATTTGTGCTGGGATATAAGTCTTCAAACCTGGTGTGTCACCCAAGGGCTACTGTGCATAGATGACACTTGGAAACAAGTTAGTAGAATTTGCCATCTCGAAGGACAACGTAGATGAGCCTGACCCTGTCTTGCCAAGCGTCCACATGTGTAATTTCCAGCAAGAGACAATTTTGCCCACAATTATACAGTCAATTCACTTTACAGTATATTCTGTGAAGCGCTACGAGACATCTAGAAGACGTGAAAAGCACTATATCAAATGCAAGGATTATTATTTATTATTAAAAGACACTGGATAGATATCATCACCCGGAACCCCCTCAATGATCACGAGCGATCCCAAAGTGCTTGACTATGCAATCTCCCTGCTTTTGGCCTCCCCACCTCCTCCCTCCATAGGCTGCAGATCGTCCAGAACTCTGCAGCTCGTCCTCTCCCTCACCAGGCTCCGTGACCCTATCACCCCAATCCTCGCCCGACTCCACTGGCTTCCCATCACACAGAGGATACAGTTCAAGATCCCGGTCCTCACTTTCAAAGCCCTCCATGGCCTTGCTCCCCTCTACTTGCGACCTCCTAAGCCCCTACCATCCTGCCCGCTCCCTGCGAACTCCGGTCTGCTTCATGAACCCTGCCTCGCCCGCCCCACCATTGGCCTTCAGCCAGTCTGCCCCCACCCTCTGGAATTCCATCCCGCAGTCCCTTCGCCTCGCTCCCTTCCTTGCCTCCTTGAAGACCCATCTCAAGACCCTCCCTTCGACTGTGCTTTCGATCACCCTCCTTCCCCCACTGCCCTCCACCCTCCCCAATCCCAACCCCAGCTCAGGTCCGAAACACTGACTGTCCAGCGTCTTGGGAAACCCTCCCGACGTGAAAGGCACTGTACAAATGTAATTTTGTTGTTGCTGAGGCCAAATGCAACATTCTGAATTCTTCATTGTCTGAGAATGGAGAGCTCAACACAGACCCAATATCAACCTGAAATATCCCTGATCTGTGTGGCTCAATTACTCTCTGATTAAACCTGCGAGAGTGATTGCGATGCTTGCATCTAATTTTTATAGAACAAAATAACAGCAGTTTGTACTATGCCCATCTTGTTCCCCTATTCAAAATAACAAACCTAAAACAACAGAGAAGCTAATGCAAAGAAAACGTTTTCATATTTCACCATTGTTTGGCATTCTAGTTTATTTTGTTTAAAATTGAAAGTGTAAATTTCCTGCCATATGTTATCTTGCTATAATACATTCTTCAGGTTTAGCTAATGTTGAGAAATCATGGGTGTTTGAGACTTGGAGTGCCTTGGTTTTGTTGTTTTACCTTTGTTGTTGATTATATAATGCTCTTGTGTATCATTAATGTGTTTCAATCCTGCATATTTCTGCCTGAATAGTTAAAATCAGAATTAACTCAACTAGCATTTTACTGTATAAAACCTAGGCTGCATTACATTGTGTTTCCGAGTGTTTGTACATTCATCTCACATTTAAAGCTGTTGCAATGTGTATAGATATCAAAAAGGAACATCAGAATAACTACCGATGTCGTGATTGTTGTTATTCTGATGCAAATTGTGAAGCTTTCTTTTCCAGGATGTGGTTGATGTTAACAATGATGCACCTTATAAAGGAAAACGCCATCACTGTTCATTACCATTTCATGTCGGGGACAGGCAAGGCTTTCGCATTTTAGATGTCATTTCTTGACAACATCATTTCCAAAGTGCCAAGGTCCTGACAGTATTTTGACATTCACACACTTGGTTCCACTGTTGTTGATGGGTCATGGTACGATAGTTTACTGGTAAATGAATTGGGAGGTCAAAAGTTCATTTCATAAATTGCCACTAAATTATGTACATTAATGCATAGTTTCTTATAATATGACTGAGAGAAACGTTAGCTTTCTTTGCATTTATTTCAGATTGAAGTGTACGCCGAATATCATAGAATTGAGACAGCATTGAAGGTTGCCACCAAATGTGGATGAATCTCTTAGGGGAAAAATGATTCTAACGCAGTTACTCTTTAATCAGAAAGAAATTGTTCATAATATGACAGGTGTCACAGCAGGCAAAGTATCAGAGTAAGTGGGTTACCTTAAAAATGAGAGTGGTTTGTTGTCTCTACTACCATCTCAACGTGGCAGAATTCCTTTTAAAACATTGGCTGCATTATTCAGCTCGCTGGTGAGGGTCATACCAGCTATAAATTAATTTCACTGAACTAATTCTTGTACAGCTGGTATGCAGTAAAAGTAACAGGGAAAACACAATTTAGTTAATATTAGGACATTTGTTCTTCCCCATTCCACCATTTTTCCCCTCCTGAAGGCATTTGACTCCTCTTCATTTATAGTAGGTTAATAATTATAGGCTGCTATTCAAGACCTGTCGCAAGACCCTCCTCTTCGACCGTTCCTTCGGTCACCCTCCTACCAACAACAACTTGCATTTATATAGCGCCACTCATGCAGGGAAGCATCGAGGAGCGCTTGGCAGTGGCAGATCATGACACCTCGCCGGGGGGAGGGGGCGGTGACCTTAGGCATGGTCGAATAGGAAGGTCTTCAGGTGCGACCTGAAAATGTGGAAGGAAGGGGCAAGGTGGAGGGATAGAGGAAGAGTGTTCCAGAGTTCCAGTGCAGCAGAATAACAACGAGGGTACATATTCAGAGGTCCATACACACACATCTTCAATAGCAATTTATGACTGGCAATTCCCTTCACTAACTGGGATGGTGAGTATAATTGCAGTGCCCCACTGCTGCCACAGAGAAAAGAATGGATATACCACTTTCCCATTTTCAATAGAAGCACATAAATTGCGCTGCTCCCTGTACCTAAATATCGGTTAGATGAAAGCATTTGAGTTGATCCTTGCATTTGATACACTAGCTTTCCATTCAGGAGAGCTTCTTGAAGCACTTCACATGATTTATTCAGTATTCTGTACTCAAACATGGCAGCCAATTTGCACACAGAATATTGCCACAAACAGTGATGAAGTGAATGACCAGGGGGATTATTAGCTAGGACCGTAGGAACTCCATTCTCTTTCCGAATAGTACCATGGGATTGCACTGTTTTGGGAGTGCCAGCCCCGACTGAGTTAAAATTCTCAATATGTCTTTAAAATGGTAATCTGTGACCACAGTGTATTGAAACAATGTGGAAAGTTTCCCCCAGATGTTTGCCAGAACCATTGCTGTTAATCTGCACCTCAGTGGGAGGGGGAGTATTATCATGGGATATCAAGCTTTCTACCCTTCATGAAGCACTTGAGTGCTAAATTTTAGTTCGTAACCGGAAACGCTTTCAGCAGTAATGTTTTAAGGAAGTTGTACCTGTTTTAAATCAGTAGTGCTATTTCAACGCAGTTGGAACAACCTTGGGGAATACTATATCCAAACTACATTTTTAATTAGTTGGCCTGTCAAGGTATTGCCATTTTTGATTATGTGGGGAATTCGAACCATGCGTTGACTGGTCAAGACTCATTGAATCACAGGAAAAATAATCTTGAGCCGCATTTACTGGCTGCAGTGAATTTGAGTATTTTATATGTATTTTGTATACAAGTTTGCCTGCAACTCGGACTTTGCGTAAGTATTATTAAAGGTTATGGTCCCGACTGAGACGACTTATGTGAGTTTTACTCTACTGTTTATGATTTGCAAACATTGCTTTTTATTTCACTCTAGGTATAAATATAACGATATTTCTATGAATGGTTGACATTAACACTGTTTTTTTTCTGTGTCACAGGAAGTCTACTTTTTTTAATGTTCTAACAAAGAGCCAGGCAACGGCAGAGAACTTCCCTTTCTGTACTATTGATCCCAATGAGAGCAGAGTACCGGTTCCAGACCAGAGATATGATTTCCTTTGCAAGTACCACAAACCTGCTAGGTATGTATATTCATTACGTTTCTTGGACAACTTTGTTGACACCTTTTGTTTTTTCTAATTCAGTGGATTTGCGTTAAGTTTATGAGCAACAATTTTGTGAATGATTGCAATTGATTGAGGTTTTAACCTGTATTACATTGTGATCATTCAGTTTTAGTTGCTTCCAAAATGAACCTGAGATCAAGCAACGGGACTGGTGAACAAATTTACAAAGAGCCCCACCACAATGTGCAGTGGCACTCAGTCATACAGACCTATGCTGAGAGAGTTTATTTCAGTGGGTGTGCTATTATATTGAGCAAATTATTTATACCTATAATATTCTCCCTGATTATCAAAGGGAAGGCAATGACTCATGCTGGTACAGTTCCACAGGCACTAGCAGACTTTGAGTACTTCCCAAGTGGTTTAGCTTCATTTATCATCTGAAACCTCAAGTTCCTCCAAGCTATTTGACTGGAGTCATCACAGCCTGATCACCTATTACATAAAATTACATAGACTGTTATAGTGCAGAAACATGCCATTTGGGCCATCTGGTCCTTGCCAGGGTTTATACTCCACATGAGCCTTCAGCCCTCCTTATCCCTGCTCCCATACCCCTCTATTCCTTTCTCACTCTTGGAAGCATCGAGTGTTCTCTTAAATATGTTGATGCTTTGTTTTTCAACTACAGCTTGCGGCGATTGAGTTCCACATTCTCACTACTCTCTGTGTAAAGATGTTCCTCCTAAACTATCTGTTAGACCTGTTATTGGTTATATTATATTTATTCCCCTTGTTTTGGGCTTGTCTGTAATCACCTAAAACTTCCACCCCCCCCCATCTTATATTTGTCTCAGGACAGTGCTCTTTTTGACATTGGGTAGCAGCAGAGATCAGAGATGAACCTGTGATCTGTATGGAGTCAGTCAGATACAGTACCAAGTGGTGTGTTTATGCAGGAGCCATCATAGAAGCATTTTGACTTGTTATAATACTGTCTTTGAAATATTTTCAGTTTTATAATATGCTAATTGTAACATTTTTAGGTTGAATACATGTTATGAGGTAGAAGGCAAAAAAAAGTAATTTTTAATACTGTTCTTAATATTTTCAGCAAAGTGCCCGCATTTCTTAATGTGGTCGACATAGCAGGACTTGTGAAGGGTGCCCATGCTGGTCAAGGTCTGGGAAATGCCTTCTTGTCCCACATCAGTGCCTGTGATGCATTATTTCATCTCACAAGTATGTAATCCTACTAAAGCAATTTACAACAGTACAGCCATTTAGAAAGTTTCATTTAATCATTATATGTCCATTTTTAATTTCAACTTTGACACACTGTTAGAATTTGATGATATGGAGGGAGAGAGGGAGGAGAGAGAAAATGGCAAAGGAATTGATATCCTTACCTGACACTTTTGGTCAGCTCATGTTTCTGCATTGTATAAAGCATTAATCTTTGTGTGTTTGCTACTTGTGTTTTGAATTACTTACTCTCTCTGCCTATGTAGCTACTTTTTTGTTTAAAAAAACTTCTACCTTGTAGGAGATCATATTGAAATGTAGTCATTTCCCTTCTCATGGAGACCTGCTGCTTTATGTTGCACATTCTGCAGTGAGTTGCTAAACTCTTAAGACCCACCAGCAAGTGTTTCATAGGAAATAATGCAGGTCTGTATCCTTTCCTCTGCTGGATTTAATTGTCAGACATACGGTCCAGATACTCCATGCTTGCTGGGTATAAAACTGTTTCTTCAATTAAATATAAATTCTGGTTTTACTTACGGCTGAAGTTGATGTTGTGGAAAAAGACAAACCGGCAGCTGTATATGTGAATGAGAAAGGAGATGTTATGGCCTAGATTCAAACCTGAAATAAATTAAAAATGGAATAGAAATGTGACTTCTGTATAGATTTGCTCTAGGATATCTCAGTAGAGGAAAATTCTATTATCTTAGAAATCCTTAATCTATCTAGATCAAACTATTTAGACAAGTCCCTATAATTTTCAGCGTTCCCCAGTTTGATATTAACAAACTTAGCCTTGTTCCTGACAAATAAAGTATAAATATCACCAGTCCTCGCACTGAATCTTGAGGTGTCCAGCTTCAGAAAGTTGTACTCTCCTCTATCGTAAGCCTCATTTTGTTGCTAGTCATAAGATTTTTTTCTAACTAACCTATTCTACCATCATCAGTTTTTTTTACATAATACTGGAGAAAGTATCACCTCTCTTGTTGTAGGTTCCTTAACTATTTTGGGTCTTGTAGCATTTCATTTACATATTTTTGCACCTTTTACTCTCTTATAATCCTCCCAAATTGTCACTGAAAAATTGAATTTACTCATAACAATTGTGTTTGATTCTCACAAGCCTGTCGTATTTGAGAATAAAGTTTCGGGTCTAATGTCTTGTCCTGATTTGGTGGACTATAACGGATCTCAGTTATTTTCCTTTATCATTTGATAACCAATTGAAAAGAAAATCTTAACTACTGTAATTGAATTACTGATAAGTGCTAGCTAACACACTTGCATACAAATTTAAATATTATCAATCTAAATAATATCTTCATATGTAAGTCAGGAATACTAAAGCCAGTGTGAACAAAAGGAGCTATTATTGACAGATTTAGTTCAGTTGGAGAATGTTTTACTTTTGAGTCCAAAAAGATTGACTCCAGTAATTGTCACATTGGGAAATTTTTCTTAACAATTGAGTGTTAATGAGTGGCATTTGTGACCCAGTCAGGTAAGGTGTGCTAAAGGTCAGTGGAATACGAGTTGCATAAACTAAATTAGTATGGAAATTGCCTGTGCCATTAATAAAGGTAGCTGGGAATAAAACCACACAGAATGATTTATCAGTGTTTTCTGGATAAACGAAAAGGGTTATTGTCAGCACCGCATTTTAAGGGCATCAAAATCCTTAGTTCATCTGAATTTATTCCATTAGAAATAGTAAGTGTGACATTTTATTTGTTTTATTTCACTGAATTTTCTTTTTCGAATGTATGGTCAACAGCATGTGTGTGCTGTACAAAACATGTTACTTCTTTTCAGCATATTGTATGTTGCTGTATTTTATGGGTTGGATATGCGCTGGAAATATACAATTTCCAGTCATTATCTACAGGTACAAATCCCCGTAGGAGATTTATTGATAGCTTGTGTTTTTAAGATTTCTTTCAAAAACTCTTGAGATACTTTCCCACACCCTCCTCCTAACAAAAGGCAAATATTGATGTATTAAACAGAAATCTAACAAGAAGCATTAGTATCTCTTAGCTTGCTAAGTAAAGTTCCTCTTTAGTAATCGAATGTTAAATCAAATGGCAACTTTTGAGACTGAATTGTAAGGAGTATGTTAAGAACTGTTGTTAAATTCATACCAAATCATCCTCTGTTATTTCAAGTTTAAAACTAAAACTACCACGTTCTTATTTTACCACTTAAATGGCCCTTTTCTTTCCCCTCCTCCCATCCCCCCCACCTTACACTAACGTTTAAATTCTAAAAGCATGCTGATCACTTGTCAGCCATCAATGGTAGCATGAAAATTACTTGTGGTACATGCTTTGCAAGAAAATCTTTTGTGTGTTAGACATGAGCTTTGTTTTACACAATTAAAGTATTACACGCTAGAATAATTTAAATTGTATGTGCTAAATGGTGATGTACTCTTTCTGTAAAGGCTGAATTTGTTTGCTGATGCTGGGCAGCTATTGACTTATCCTTTGTGTGACAGGACTGCTTCCTCAGTCAACCTTGTTTTTTTTGGTTGTTTGGATATTATGCTTTAAATCCTTTTTTTTTTGTTGCTGTACTGCAAATTGTTATTTTAATATCTTCAAAAATGGACTGCATCATTAAAATGCATCTAGATTTAATTTTATTTTGCCCACAAAATACAGCCAATCCACTTTATAGTATATTCTGTGAAACGCTTTGAGACGTCTCAAAGATGTAATAAAGCGCTATATCAAATACAAGGGTTATTATTATAATTATTATACTCACAATGCTCATAGAGGTTCTGAAAAATTAACTGTTGTTTAAGAATTGAATGATAAAAAACTCATTATTATTGGTTTAGAACCATTTTAGTACCGAACTGTTTGTTCAGGGTTTTGTAAGAAAATAAAAAGAGGGAGAATTGATCATACATCTTATAACTGGATTTAGGGGGATTTTACATCAGGTTTGTATATTTATAAAAATATATTTGGGTAGCGAATGCTATTGATGCAATGAAGCTGAAAAAGTTCAAACTATTGTTACATGCTGAATCCTGGAAATTTATTTAGAGTATTTTATGTAGTTCTGTCTTTTGACAAATACACTATTGCACTAAATATGAAATCAAAATGAATTTTTTTTTTAAAAAAAAGAGCGGTCGGTTATAATGCAGTTATCAAAAGCTTTGGGACCGTCCATTGGGTCTTAGGTACAGATTGGCATGAGGAAAACTGCTAATAACCTCTAGGTTTGCAAAAGTCATTTTTTGCAATTTAAGGAAATCTGCTTTTATCGTAACATTTTAGCAGTAAACAAAGCTGCGCTGTAATCTTTGTAAAAGCTCAGAATTCTATGTGCTGTGCTTTATGTAACTACTACTAGCACCTGATAATAGATGCCGAGCATCTTCAAGCAGTAATTAGTGAAGGGCTTCTCTGGTGTTAATTAGCTAGTAACTGCTACATTTAGTGTACTTGAGCAATATTGTATGATTACATGTTGAGAGATACAAGGAGCCTGAGATTACCATAGACTGATGTATTACTTACAAAACATCATCATAAATGATACTTAGCAGGAAGTAAAATTATAGCATGATCTATTATTCTATCGCGTGATCTATCTAGCCGTGTTATACAGGTGGTGCCTTTACACAGTGGGCCATCAGGAAGGCAGTCTATAATATTTCACTTCAGTTATTTATCAAATTCAGTAATTTTTTGGTCATTCATAATTCTTGGAAATATATTTTTGGACGTGAGATGACATTGTAAATGTCAATTTGATGGGTAAATTAGCATTAAAATGAGGATTAACAATCACATGGATGCTAAAAACATGAGAGCTAATTGAACTTAACAATTTGAAGAGATATCAGAAATTCACTTTGTGGAAAATGTGTATTCAGTGTCATATCCTTACCCTTTGGCCCACAGCACTTTGTTTGGACTATAAACACCATTTAGGCTGAATGTCCTGTTTCAGTACTCTTGGTTCTGTTGTAAAGCAGAGGCTTTTCTTTGCTTGATACTAGAACAATGTTTGATTTAGGCTCTGGAGGCTGCATGGGTAACAATCAGCATGTTTGATCATTCCATGGAAATGAAGAGAGGGATTTCTGTAAGCTTATCTTTTGCCAATCTTCAGTTTTCCTAATGCCATCAGCTCTTGTAACTGGACTCAGACCAGTTGTTGCAAATAGAATTGTTTTAATAATAATAATAATTTACCCTGTGATCTCAGAATCTGCACATTAGCCCATGTCCAAAAGGCTAACAATTACCCCATACCAATTATCCTCCATAATATGTTACATAGCGACTTGTCACCATACCAAACTCTGTTCAAATAACTAATATTACAGCAGTAACAAGTATTACAAATATTTCAATATTAAGAACAGAGGTTTAAAGACTATACTGAAACTTTGCCTACAGAGCTAATGCATTAATTACTTGGATACAGGATTCCTAATTGAGGGCAAAAGCGTTACGGAAAGGAGATTTTGATTTTAATGCTCATGAAAAGTAGTTAAAAACCTTAATAAACATGTCTGAGCATCATAAGAATATCCTCCAGCTTGCTTCTTTTAAAACTTTTTTGCAGCTTGTTGAATTAGTGTGGACGTTCACGGTATCCTCTTCCAGTCCTCATTTTCATTTTCTAAAGTAATGGTGAGAATCAAACTCTGTAATGCATACACCATGTGTTGCTACTCAGAGCCAGTTGCTAGGACACGTGGGGATGTTTCTCTTCTCTTCTTCCATTATTTAATACTGTAAATTCCCTCACATTCATGTGGAGAAGTGCCTAATCTTCACTCAGTGCTTCTTTATGGTTGAGTACTGTATTGATTAAAGAGTTTAGGGTTTATTCTCTCCCTCAAAAATTAGATCTTGTCTCATCAAAAAGACCACATGTCCAATTCACACTAACTCTCGCAAACTTCAGAAATCTGAGTCCAAATTAATCACAGAGCCTGGGGCAGATGGTAACTGATGGGG